ATAGCATATTGTTTCAGTATATTATATATAAACTCAAACAAATCTACCATGATGCCCACATGCTCGACGCCGTTGAATGTTTCTTTCTGTTGTTTACAGTCATACTTTCAATTTAAGTATGGCGAAGTTTATATTTGAGTGTCCACAAAAGAATCCATATTAATAGACGTCGTCAAAAAATGCAGTGAGAATAGAACAGAAACCATCAACTATGTAAAGAGAAAGGGAGCTCATCAAACATTCATTTGTATTCTGCAAGATCGAACAAAAATTCAAACAGAAAACTTCCTAGCCAACAACTGCTAGTGCCACAGGAAAAACAACATCATTATACACAAATCAATCAAAACATTGTATGGCGCAAAATTATTTTCTCATGTGGATTGATCGTAACATCGATGAAGCCGATGATAATTTCCAGAAAGCACTCAAGCAATTGCGCCGTATTGTCAGCCAGATAGAAATCTTTAAGGAGATGGCACAATGTATTCAATGCGTTAAAGATATGAATCACGAAAAGGCTTTTGTCATCTCATCTGGCGCTTTGTGCCAACACCTGGTGCCTCAAATTCATGGCGCGGATAATGTCGATACTATTTATATTTTTTGTGACAACAAGGCAAGACATGAACAATGGGCAAAGGAGTGGCCAAAGGTTGAAGGTGTTTTTACCTCATTAAAACCTATATTGAAATCATTGAAAAAAATCAGCGATCAAGTTGATAGTGGTACAATTCCAATAAGCTATTTACCAAAGCAAACGATAGAAGAGGCACTCTCTCAAGAAAAAAGGTATTCTTGGAATTCGAACAAAATAGGTTTCCGAACATTCGGAAACCCCAAAGAGGTTTTTGAGGATAAAAAAGAACTTCCAAGATGCTCGAAAACCCTTAAAGGATTTCAGATAGTAACAAACTTGGGGACCGGAAAAGGTTTCCGATGCTCAGAAACGTTTAAAGGATTTCCAGAGTTCCAGAAGCCCTTTCCGGTTTTCGAGTTTGTTACAATCTGAAACCCTTAAAGAGCCTTTTTTTTAGCGCATTCAATCGTCTACCACCATCTTACATGTATTCTGCAATATTTAAAGATATCATATTAGAAATCGATGAAAACGATGCGAAAGCATTGCAAAATCTGATAGCTTATTGTCGTCGTAATGTTCCTAAAAACAAGTTGAGTGATTCGGATTATTTCAATAAATTGGATTATGTTCAAAATGAATACCACAGGAGGACGGTCGTCTGGTGGTATAGCAATAAAGACGTATTTCTATACAGTATGCTCAATCGTGCTCTACGCACACTCGATATGAAAGTCATGGCAAAGATGGGCTTTTTTATTCGTCACCTCCACCGACAATTGGAACAACTACATAAAGAACGACCCGATGAATATAAGAAGTCATTCTTCGTCTATCGTGGCCAGGGTTTTTTGCCGAATGACTTTGACGAACTTTACAAGGCCAAAGGTGGACTTCTATCGTTCAATAATTTTTTGTCAACAAGCATTAACCGCGAAATAGCTGAGGGATTTGTCAAGTCTGCACTACTCAAATATAAAGACAATATGAGTGTTCTCTTTGTGATGGCAATTGATCCAAATGACGTATTGACATCAAGAACTCCCTTTGCTCCTATCAAAGAGTACAGTAAATTTCAGGATGAAGACGAAATTCTCTTTTCAATGCACACTGTATTTCGTGTGGGTGAATTTAAACAATCCACTGAAAATGATCATCTATGGGAAGTACAACTGACACTTACAAATGACAATGATCCGCAACTGACTGTTCTCATTGAATACATGAAAAAGGAGATTCGTGGCAAGGGATGGTACCGGCTAGGCGAATTGATGCTCAGAGTAGATGACTTCGACCAAGCTGAAATACTCTATAACGAATTACTCGAAAATGAGCCGAATGACACTGATACAGCAAATATTTATCACCAACTTGGTAGAGTAAAGGGAAAACAGAGGCAGTATACAGAAGAGATTGCGTTTTACGAGAAATCCCTAGGAATCTATCTAAAAACTCTCAAGGCAGATGATTCTGCATTGGCTCCCACCTACAGTAACATCGCTCTAGCGTATGACAACAAGGGTGATTACTCGAAAGCGCTTGATTTTTACGAAAAATCACATCAAATGTACGAAAGAACTAGTTTTCCGAATGATCTCAATTTGGCTGCTTCCTACAACAACATCGCTGGACTGTATGACAAGATGGGCAATTACTTGAAAGCACTTGAATTTTACGAAAAAAATCTTGAAATAATAGAAAAACGTCTTCCTCCAAATCATCCAGATTTAGCTCGTTCCTACAACAACATCGCTGTAGTGTATAACAGCATCAGCGACTATTCGAAAGCCCTAGAATTTTTCGAAAAAGATCTTGCAATAAAGGAAAAAACTCTTTCTTCGAATCATTTCGATTTGGCTTGTTCCTACAACAATATCGCTCTACTGTATAACAACTTGGGTGACTATTCAAAAGCACTCGAATTTCACGAAAAATCATTTAACATTAGAAAAGAACTTATTCCTCCGGATCACTCCGCAATGCTAGTAAGTCACTTGAATTTTGCTGCATCTTACGAAAGAATGGGTGACAACTTCCAAGCACGTGCATCTCTCAAAAAGGCTCGTCACATCCAACAAGAGTTACCTGATGAAGATCAATCATCTTATATTTATATATTTAGCCGGCTGGGAAAAGTGTATCGTAATATGAAAGACTATACAAAAGCATTGCATTATTTTCAAAAATGTATTGTGATTTGTGAAACACTGTTGTTAGAAAAGCATCCAAAGTGGGCTGAAACATACAGTGACATTGGTGATGTTCATCGATTAATGAGTGATCACGAAAAGGCACTTACATTTCATCAAAAAGCATGTAATATTGAAGAAAATGCTCAATGCAATCCTTTGCAATGTGCCACAATATATGTAAATTTAGGTGAAACATATCGTGAAATGAAAGATTATTCAACAGCATTGACATATTTTCATAAAGGTTTAGATATACGTGAAGAGAAACTACCAAAAAATCACCCTGACTTAGCTGTTGTCTATCATAATTTATCGAAATTATATTTATCTACAAAAAATTATAGTCTGGCAATGAAAAACGTTCAACAAGCGATTGATATTGCTCAAATGAAATTATCTTCAACTCATCCTCATCTCGTTGATTATAGAGAAACATTTGAAGAGATTCGAAAGAAAATGTAACTGTTTTTTTTTGTTTTCAATGGTTTTGCTTTTTAAGAGAAAGTGGTCCACTTTGCCCTCTTGATCTAAATATTGCCTATGAATACGACGACTGTGACTGCATGAACATCGAGGGTCCTTTCTAGTACTATGCCCTGCTTTCGCCAGTCAGGATGGAGAATCCCGCTGAGTTAGATTATACGAAACCGCCTAATAGGCTGTCACAAATATATTCAACGGAAAATAATGTTTACAAAAACTTTTTGAAAACTACTCCAGTCGAAAAAGAACGGAATATCGCTGCTTTATTCTCACAATTATAAGTGAAAAGTTCTATTGGTCACCACGACTTGACGGGTGTGGGTGTAGGATATCTTAGGCCAAAATTCGACTATTTCCTGAATGGATTCGCTCCAAGTAACTTTCAAAAAAAACGCAAACTACTACCAGGTAGAACTCGACGGGGCTCTATCCAGCCCAGACATCCATTCTACTTCACAGCTTTCTGGGCAGAGCTAAAATTTTAAAAAAACACATAAAAAACGCATTACACTCGGCCAATTTTCGTGAATCGCGTTGCGATTCGCCCAGAAGAATTTACGACAAAGTCATACTGTTTTCCAAACAAAATCCTGAAGAGCTCTATCGATTGGACACCTTTTGAGCGCGATTGACTGCGTGGGTCCACTACAAACTCGTCAGTTTCGTGATAGATCTTTGGATTTCCACTACAACCTGTCGCGATTCACCTAGAAGAACTTCGCAGCATAGCCATGATGGTTTCCAAGTAGATCTTGATCCACAAAATCGGGTCCAAATTTCTAGTTTGATTCTGCTAAAACTGGCCGCGAGGTTGCGGGTGTGGACTGTAAGGTATCGATGTGGCTGTTGGTGACCTGTTCCCAATTTACACCCACAAGCACACTCAAAATCCATAAGATATGAAACCACTTCTTAACACAATGGAGGATAATGGTTAGAAAACTCATGCCTCTCTTAAATCATTGAAAGCGGAAATGGTCGAACGTGTCTCTGAGAATAAATATCAGATTCATTTGTGGAATGAAAAACTAGACGTCTGCGAATGCAAGACGCGAGCTGCTGAAGTGACTGTCAAGTCATTGGACGAAAAGCTTAAAATCGAAGAACTATATTTTAAGTGCAGGACTAGAGATGTATATGTATGCTGTTGCTAGATGATCAAAGCTTTTTTTAATATTTTTGCTTAGTGAGTATGCATCTACACATTTATCAGCCGAAAAGACATATAGAGCACGAAAAAAAAATCAACAAAAGCGTTTCTTGTCGTTTGTTGATTGACAAGAAAAGAAAATCTGCCATTGAATCCCTTTACTGTCGTGAATCAGATATATTTCTGTTCTAAAAAAGAAATATGAAATCAATGATTCATTCCAGCCGTATATTCTGCGATCCTACGTCTTCTATTTTTATTATATAAATGGAGCTCAAGAAATGGGTAATCGTGAGGTATAGAAAGTCTGCAAGATAAACATGCGTGCATATTTTGATACATAAAATTTTGTGAGTTTGTTTAATACTCAAATAGTTCCGATGAGTTGATTAATCGTTATCATCACTGCCTTTGCCATAATTATTGCCAGCGTCACTCTTATTTCCATCTAACAACATCCCACCTTCATTTCTGCTTGCAACGGCTATTTTCAAAGATTGTTGCTGTGAATCTGGATCTTCTTTTGAATACGACATTTGATCCCGTACACGTAAATTAGTCTTGCCCTTATTATAACAAAACATATTAAAGTATATTCTTCATTACCTTTGCATATATCTTACTAAAATACTATCCGAGCCTGGTTGACCCGTATTTTTAAAACCAGCACCTCCGCCTGATGCCATTTTGTTCAATGAGGAAGAAAATTATCTAAAATAAAATATGAAACTAGAAGTCATATATACGTCAGCGTTCAATTTCGGATTCAGGCCAATCTACAGGGCGATCCAAAAGTTACCGAGCAGTCGTTAATTGCGGATCACTTTTAATAGGAACAGGATAGAAAGTTGACCATGCGAAAGAGTGTGTTGCTGCATAGTTCAATGTATTATTCAATAATGCCGATTGTTGACAGAGTGATAAGTCAGTGATCTTCGGCAAAAACACTGTTAGTTTTATGAAGATGACATAGGAGTTCAATTCTCAAACACATACTAGAATCGTGTGCCTATCAATCATGTTCGTGCTTTCATTCCTGGTGTGGTGAGAATACATCCTATTCCACGATGTTGAACAGTGTGGAATCAGTTTCATTCAATTCACGGAATTCCTCGAATTGAGTCCACTTTGAAGTACGCATAATTCCTAGTAATTCCGGAACGGAATTACCTTTTGTCCTCACCCTCATGTTGTCCTGTGTGGTTGTTGATTAGTATGTAACGAGGGAACCTTTCGAGGTGTCCAACGAGTTTAGATCGCATCTTGTGACCATAAATAGACCTCGATGAGGTATAAAAAATCTGGAAAGGATACGAGTCCTTAGGTCTTCCTTCCAGCATTATAGCTATTTTAGTAGAATTTCAGCCTGTGGCTCAGTAGGCACG